AATGGAAATTCTGGTATCAATTGTGGTCATAAGTTGAGGAGTATCTAGCTATATTTAGCTTGGAGTTGTTTCCTCTGAATGGCAAATTAGAACCAAGCTTCCGGTGTAACTCAAAACAAATATATTTAATGCATCATAATGGGCCTAAAGCAGGGGTCTCCAACCTGGTCAACTTTAAGACTTGTGGACTTCAACTCCCAGGAGTTGAGGTCCACAAGTCTTAAAGCTGACCAAGTTGGAGACCCCTGGCCTAAAGGAAGACTCATGGCATATTACTGACCTGCAACTGTAACATTGAAGAAGGCAGAGTCATCGCCTGCATCACACACAAACTCGCCAGTGTCTTGCACTTGCGCGAAGGGAAGGACGAGTCGTCGGTGGGGCCCTTGGCTCTCAAATAGCAAGCCATCACCTTCTTCTAATTCCTCCCCATCTTTGTACCATTGGACAGGGGCGTTGGGGCAAGAAAGCTCGCAGGTCAGCACCACGCGGTCGGAGGTCTGATAAGCATGAGTGGCCTCTGCATTGGACTGCACAATTTGCACAAGTGGTTCTGCAGCATCAAGGGAGACAGAGAAACCAGAGTTTTAGAACAGTTGTGGACCTATAGACTCAAGGTCTAGAGAAAATGGCTGGCACTGGTGGTAGACTATCCAGGGACCTCCATATGTTTTTTTTCAAAGCAGCTCCCACAATTCCTGACCCCTGTGGCCATATTGATAAAGGTTCATGAGAATAGTAGTCCAAAACACCTGGAGGGAACCTGCTTACAATCCTTTATAGCTGACCAAAACCTAGGAGGAAAGAGGAACTGGTGCACCAGGGCAGCGTTTGTGTTCTGAAAGTTGTTTTGTGTGAAGCAAAAAGGAAGAGAAGATATTAGAGAAAGCATTCACCCCTTCTCATAACAAAAATTGAAGATCATCTCAAACCAGGAGGCTTGAGAAAACAAAGGGAAGAATTGCCTTTCACAATCAGTTTGTGATATTCATTGACAAGGGATGTTGTGACGGCAGGGCACCTAACATAAACAACCTTGTGGAAGGATTAGATAACCAGTAGAAGATAGGCTGCCTTATGACGCAGAATAGCTTACCGTGCAAGTCCTACATTCGTAGTCATTATATCTCTGAGTGACCACCAATTATCTGAAGCTAAGAACTGAACATGGAAAGCACAACTACTCTGTGCTCATTCACAAAGTCCCTGGGTGCTTCTGTTGAATCATTCATCAGAAAAACAGCACAGTATAAGTGGGCCAGGGACAAATTCAGCTCTCCTTCAGACCAAAATACACCCATGGAGCCTTTGAAACAACCCAGTGTGCAGCAGCTCACATCACCCAGAGCATTCTAAAGTTACTAGACTTTAGTTTCCATAACTCCCAACCAACCACAAACTTTGTCTCTGTGATATGAAAATTCTAAGAGCTGTAATCCAGTCCACCACCACCGTTGCCCCAGAAGACACTTGGCAGGGGAAGAAATGAAGATGGCCTTTGCCTAGTAGGATACAATAATTCTCTTGCCTTTGACAGTGATGTTGAAGAATGCCGAATCGCCACCTGCATCACACACAAACTCCCCAGAATCTTTTACTTGAGCTGAAGGAATGACCAGCCGACGGTGAGGGCCCTCACTCTCCAGTAGGAGTCCTTCACTTTCTTCCACCTCTTCTCCATCCTTGTACCAATGTACGAGGGCATCAGGACGAGAAAGCTCGCAGGATAGCTCTATGCGTTCTGCAACCTGGTAGACATGGCTCTCTTCATCATTGGAGTATATGATCCTTACAGGATGGTCTGTGGCAAGAGAATACATTCTATGAATGAGGGTTGGTAGAAATAGGATTATGAAATACATTTTCCCCTACTTATATGCACATCAGGGGTGGGTTGCTGCTGGTTTTACTACCAGTTCACAACCCGCGCATGCGCTGTTCAATGCAAATTGTTTTTGCACATGTGCAGAACAATATACAGTGAACTGCGCATACGCAGTCACTAAAAACCAAAATGGCAATGGCCCGGCAGCGGCGAGAGAACTAGATCGGGGGCGTGGCACGCCTGGGTTGCTGCTGGTTCTGCGACCCAGACTTGAATCCCACTACCAGTTCGGCCAAACAGGGCCAAACCAGGAGCAATCCACCTCTGATGCACATGCACAACTGGAACTGAAATGGAAGTGTTTTGCTGCAAATTAAGCTTATTTGTCTATCTACATGTTTGGCTTTTTATAGAATATAAGAGAAGAGGTCCCTGCCACAATGCCTTTGAAATCCAGTATAGGACATGTTGTCTGGTTCCTGTATTGAAGTAAGTCATGATTTACAATTTGTTGAATAAACTATAATTAGTTTATGCACAATTAGGCATACATCCTGAATAAAAACAAGCTACGTTCAATGTGTTCTCATATCACTTAACCCTTAACACTTTAAAATTACAATTGCAGCACCGTCATAATATATTACATACGAATAAATAAATCCGATTTACACAACATATTAAGATAAGGGCTGAGTTCCTATAACATGTTGAACCCAAATCTTCATTTTGCCTTGCCTAAGTGTCATGCAAAGCTTGTCATTATGGTGCAGTCTCACTAGAAAAGAGTAGAAAAGTAGGCATAAAATTGAGAGGCGGACCAATGATGAATGCAGGGCACTGGGGATATTTGGAGCTAAATGAAATGTGCAAATTAATAAGCAAATCTGACCCTTATTTTAACATTTTGAGATCTGATAGTCCTATAATCAAGCCTAATTGGATAAAAAGAACTGACATTTTTCCACAGGTCTGATTAGAACTTCAAAAAATCAAGATCAAATCTGAATCCCAACAAAAGTTACTGATGAATGACTGCTTTTAGTATGACAAAACTATCACACAAATGGGGAATAAACGCAGCAAGCAGAGTATTTCTGAGCCCTATGACAATGTAATTTTTATGTGTGAGGCAGTTTAGCTCTTTGTCAATTAGGCATAATTGCCAACGAACTGCTTTGAAAGTTATTCTTGTATTTAGTTTGTTTTGAAGGTTGATTGAAATAGGCTGGAGAGGTCATTTGTTCGGGTAGCTTGGTGTTAAACCATAAAAAGTTTTTAAGGCCAAAATGAGCTGTAGGAGTTGCACTCAGAAGGCAACAGGAAATCAGGAAAGGTCTCAGAGTATGCTAGTATTGAAATCTATGAGCTAAAAACAGGTTGCTGCATTCTGGACCATTCCCTGTACAGCTTCTATGTGGTTTTCAGAAAAAGCCATATGAAGAGCACTTTACAGTAGTTCTGACCCATAATGATGAGGATGAGAGTTACTGGCATAATGTCCCCTGCTCCAGGTATTGTATGTCCATAATCAAAGTCCCAAATGTTCCATTTGACACAGCAAAGATTACTCTAAACCGTAGCCATGAATCCAGGGAAACTGCAGAATTATTGCTACAAAGCCAACTTTCATGAGATAACAGTCCAGCCAACTCTTTCAACAAATCAAAGTCCCAATGCTATATTAGAGAATCTATGCAGCTCTCAGTTGGACTGCTGGATTCTAGATAGACTCTGAACTTGGCTGTTTTCCTGCAGAGATCTTATAATCAGGCTAGGTAGCATCATCGGTGTGAGGGAGAGTGGGGTTTGTATGCTGTTTATATATTCCTTGCCCTGCCAGTCTGGGCTGGGGGATGATTTTTGTTGATTGTTCTTTGATTAGGATGTTCTTTGTTCTTGATTGCTTATGTAGTGCCATTTCCTGCTTATCTGGGTGTCTGTTACTGGGGAGGATGTGTTCCAAAATGGTTGTTTCTTTCTATGACTTTTGGTTATACCAATAAATGACATGTAGATGAGGTTTATGTCTCTCTGTCCAATAACAGCTGATTTCACCATTTTGTTACTGAACCTGGTAACGAAACATCTGCTGGAAAACAACCAAGCTCAGGGAACACCAAGAATCCGACACATCATTCTAAAGTGTGCAGAAAAGTATCAGTCACGATTCAGCCACAAGTAAGCTGAGTGTAGGAAAGAACGGAGAGCAATTTCAAAGGAGAAATGTAAAGAAGACGACCCCCTACTGTAATCTGCCTGAGAAAAGGGACAAAGAGGAAGATGGCCGAAACCTCCTGCAGCATCAGCTCCCTCGAGTCTGGTGAATTAAATCAAACATGCAACTATGATAATTACAAAAACGCCCAGCCCTGTCTGAATTCCAGAACAAAATAGCTCTCTAAAGTGGCATGCATCACAGATTCTCTTTTTTTTTTAAGGTAAAGGCTCCCCTAAATCAAACTTAAATCTTGTGGATCACATAAGGTGACCAGACGTCCCGCTTTTGGCGGGACACACCCGCCTTCCAATGCATTTTCCCGCGTCCCGCCCGCCTTTTTAAAAGGCACGCTTTTTTTGGCGCTCGCAGC